CTTTCTCTCTGCACTGAGAGCCAGGGAGCAACTGCAAGAATTGGGTGGATCCGGGCTGGATGGTGGAGGCAGCTGCCAGCATGAGTCCAGGTAAGCCTCTGGAGCGATTTTTGCAGCGCTCCAGCGGCCCGATCCGGGCTCGGAGGCCTGGAAAAGGCCTCTGCCGCCTGGATTGGCCGTGGGGGGGGTGCGAAATCTCCCACCCACCGCATGGATCGCCCTGCCGCCTCCGCCTTTCCCCCCAAACAGCCATGTGGATCGCGCTGCTACCACCGTTCTCCCTGCCACGTGGATCGTGTGCCACTGGCCCCCACCCGCCGTGCGAATAGCGCTGCTGCTGCCATTCCCCCACCTGCTGCGCAAATCACGCTGTTGCCGGTCCCCCCCACCCGCCGCATTTTCCGGGCCTCAGGCGCCCAGATTGGGCCACTGGCGCACTGTAAAATTGCCCCACAGCCATGCATGCAAGCTCCAGAGGCTTGAAAAATGCTTTTGCCGCCCAGATTGGCTGTGGGGGGGAGCAAATTGCTCTGCAGCCCTAGATCTAGGCAGCAGAAGCATTTTCCAGGCCTCTGGCATCCGGATCGGGCTGCTGGCGCGCCATAAAATCACCCACGGCCATGGATGCAAGCTCCAGAGGCTTCAAAAATGCTTCTGCCACCCAGATCAGCCGTGGGGGGCCTGTATCTAGGGTTGCAGAGCGATTTTGCGCCTCCCCCACAGCCGATCCGGGCGGCAGAAGCATTTTCCAGGCCTCTGGAGACCAGATCGGGCCGCTGGGCCGCCCCAAAATCGCCCCATGGCCATGGATGCGAGTCCAGAGGCTTGGAAAACGCTTCTGCCGCCCGGATTGGCATGAGTTGAAATTACAAGGTAGTGTAAGGACCCACTTCAATCCTACATCTTAACAAAGCAGAACTCTTGGAAACAATTTCTTCCAACAGGAACTTTTATTAAGAGTAGTTGATAGCAGGCATAATAGACAGGATCTGAGGGATTCTTTACAGATCGATACTTTAAAGTGTCCCTAAGCAAACCCCACCCCACAGTTCATCCGGATGGTTCAGACCGGCCAATCCCCAGGTGTTAAGTCCATCGTGGGAAAGGAGATAACATCGGTCCGGCTCCAGTTATAGCACGATGTTCCACAGCTCCTCACACCTTCTTTTGAGACCGGAGAAATAAACCAGGTTCCGGATGTTTGTATTTCTCCCCCCCCTTTTCCTAGCTTCCAGGTTAGGGAGAAGAAAGTTCAGAGAGATGCATAGTTCAGGAGGCAATTTGTTACATTGTAATGGGCAGCAGACACAGAGGCAATAAACAAAAGGTTACATTGTAGTGAATAGAGGAAGTGAAAGCAATAACCCCGCAGGCATAACCCCCTTTCCCCTTGGGAGTATGGCAGAACCCAGGGGAAGGTGAGATTTGGTTTTAGATCAGAGGAGATAGATAGAAATGAAATATAAATGGGTTCTGACATCGGTAGTTTTAAAGATAAAGTACAGGTACTCCTCACTCCCCTTCAATATCATCTCTTCCCCCTCCAATATCTCTTCCCCCACCCCCTTCAATAGCATCTCTTCCCCCACCCCCTTCAATATAATCTTTTCCCACCCCCTTCAATATCATCTCTTGTTCCATCACTGGAGACGTTTAAGTAGAGATTGGATATTCCATTGTCTGGAATGGTATACGTCCCCTGCTTGAGCAGGGGCTTGGACTAAAGACCTCAAAGGTCTCTTCCAACACTCTTTGAGAGAAGCGTTGCCAACCTCTCTCCCTCCCCTCGTCCCTTCCTGGGCTCAGAGAGAGGGAGGGAAGGAAGAAAGGAGGGGAGGGAAACAGGAAGAAAGAAAGGGAAGGAAAGGAAGGAGATGGGAATGAAAAGGAGGGAAGGGAAGGGAAGGAAGGAAGGAAGGAAGGAAGGAGATTGGAATAAAAGGGAGGGAGGTCTGAGGGAAGTCCTGCCTTAGCACTTGGCCACCAGCAGCCCTGTTGCCCTTTCGCCATCCCTTGGTGGTCTCCCATCCTATTGCTGAGGATGCTTTGGTTACAAAGCCAGGTCTCCTCGCATGGAGAGAGAGTAGGCCTTCCTCTGACCTACGCATTTTGCCCTCCTGCACCCACCATGACCAACCTGGCCAAGGAGAGCGAGCACAGAAGAAGTAGCCTTGAGGAGGAGGTAAACACAGCTGAGCACCTCGGGGAAGTGCGGCTAGAGAAGGCAGGGCTGTGGGGTCCTGGTGCCGTGGGAGCTCAAGGGCCGGGCTGGGCACTTGACCTTTGCTGCCCAGGGCTCCAGGCAATTGTGCCACCTTCCAGGGGCCCCCTGCATGGTCTGAGGCTCAGTGAGGCTCCTCCAGTGAACCATGCCCCGGCGCTCGCCCTGGTCCCACCCCCCCTCTGCCGGAGATCCTCAGATCCACCCCAGTCCTGCCCAGGCCCGCACAAGTGCCCCTGACGCGAGTGATGTTGAGCTAGCCACACCCATCCAATAGGCCACACCTACCCAGTGGGCCACGCCCACCCGGCACCCAACAATAAATAAGTAGGGTTTGGATTGTGGTTTGGGCACTCGGTCTCTAAAAGGTTCGCCATCACTGGCCTAGATTCTTTGTCCTTGGAGACTTCAGTTTTCTTCCCTGAAGGAGAAATTAGAAGTAGCTCATTTAGCATGAACTAAAGTTCAAGTCTGTACTTTGAGGTAAGAGGGGTGACGTGTCATTCCTTATCTGCACTTACCTCCTACAAAGATGGCAAGCTGGCGATATTATTTAGGATAATCCATACATACTCTTTTTGGGAATAATGCTGGATCCTTTTCATAAATGTGTAATCATCTGGAGCAGGGGTGTCAGACTGCCGGCCTGTGGGCTGGATGCGTCATGGCGAAACTGCCCACCCCATTGCCGGCAATGGAAAAAAAGTCGTGATACGTTGCGACACATCACGTGATGATGTGAGTTTGACACACCTGATCTGGAGGATAAAATCATGTTCATATGGAGTTGGATGTTGGCTGAACAAGGTTAATCAGGATTATAGGGGCACCGTCATATTTAGGAATAGTTTGAGTCTGTTGACCCTAATAAAGTTAATAGAGAATTCTGTGATATTAGCTTAACCTCCTGTGAATTGAATTCCTGCCTGACCTTGGTGAAAGCTATTGAGGTGACAGGCTGGATTCAAGCAATGGTTAACGCGTTGTTGAGAAAGAGTATAATGCTACCTGCCCTGAAGGTGGTAGTGGGGATATGCCTCCTTAAGAAGCCATCACTTGACTTAATTGTTTTAGACAACTATCAGCTTGTCACTAGCCTTTTTAAAGAAGGTTGTTGAATAGGTGGTGAGGTTTGCAGCAGGAGAGAGCTGTGGATGAAACAGTTTCCACTGTTTCATCCACAGCTCCTTTCCACTGAAACAGCCCCTTTCCACTGATTCAAAGATCAGGATTGGGCAAAAATTACAGTGGTTGCTCTTATGGATGACCTGTGCTGAGACTGAATTAGGGGAGTACAACTGCCTAGTCTTGCCGATCTCTCAGCAGCCCTTGTTGCTGTCAACCATAAAATCCTTCTGAGCCAACTGGGAGGGTTCAGGCCTGAGGGTCCTGTGTTGTAATTGTTTTTCTTTTTGTGGTTGGGAAGATCAAGTCTCCAGGTGCTCTGATGTGGGGTGCTGCAGAGCCTGGCCCTTTAATACTGAATTTCTATATGAAAGTGAAGAGGAACTAAAGAGCCTCTTGATGCGGGTGAAGAAGGAGAGTGCAAAAGTTGGCTTGAAACTCAGCATTAAGAAAACCAAGATCATGGCATCTGGCCCTCTCAATTCCTGGCAAATAGATGGGGAAGAAATGGAGGTAGTGACAGATTTTATTTTCCTGGGCTCCAAGATCACCGCAGATGGGGACTGCAGCCAAAAAATTAAAAGACGCTTGCTCCTGGGGAGGAAAGCTATGGCAAATCTAGACAGCATACTAAAAAGCAGAGACATCACCCTGCCAACAAAAGTGTGTATAGTCAAGGCCATGGTTTTCCCAGTTGCAATGTATGGCTGTGAAAGTTGGACCATAAGAAAGGCTGAGCGCCAAAGAATTGAGGCCTTTGAACTCTGGTGCTGGAGAAGACTCCTGCGAGTCCCTTGGACTGCAAGGCGTTCAAACTGGTCAGTTCTAGAAGAGATCAACCCTGACTGTTCTTTAGAACGCCAGATCCTGAAGTTGAAACTCAAATACTTTGGCCACCTAATGAGAAGGAAGGACTCATTGGAGAAGAGCCTGATGCTGGGAAAGATGGAGGGCAATAGAAGAAGGGGATGACAGAGAATGAGGTGGCTGGATGGAGTCGCTGAAGCAGGAGGCGTGAACTTAAATGGACTCCAGAAGATGACAGAGGACAGGAAGGCCTGGAGGAACGTTGTCCATGGGGTCGCGATGGGTCGGACACGATTTGGCAACTAACAACAACAAATATGAAGCTTCTCAGGGAGGTAACATGCAGTAAGATAATGTCAGTATTTTGATAATTCTCAGTTAATACATTTTCACCTTGGCCTGATCAGGAAATGTGGGCAAAATTGTGTCCAAAAGTGTCTGGGGATTGATTTAGTTTGCATGGGGAGAAATACACAGATTGAATGTTAATAAGAGTTATTGACTGATTCTGGAGGAAGGTGGGTAAAGGCCTTGAGAACCTTGACACAATGCCATCTTCAGTGTCAGTAGTGGCCTTCCTGGAGTGGGAATTTTTCTTGACATTCATTCATGCGATCGTCACTGCCTGTTTAGACCAGGGCTTTTCAACCGGTGGTACGCGTACCACTGGTGGTATGCGACAACCTGGCTGGTGGTACGCGGTGTCGCCTTCCTCCCCCCCCGGCATCGCTTTCCTCCCCCCCCCGCTCTGCTCCTTCCCAGCTCACTTGTTTGTGGAAAACATGCTGCTTGGCGGCAGCCTGCACAAACCCTACCGAACGTGCCCTGCAGAGGGTGCGCGAAGAGCGCAGGTGCAGAGCAAGGCCCCGCCCTCCCCAGGGACTCATTGTGCATCAACCGGATTGAGTTCTTCTCGTGCACACAGGTCAGCGGGATCCGTATCGCCCTTCCCCTCCTTCTTCTTACTTCAGATGGATGCGTATCTGTCATACCTATATTATATGTGGCTCCGAATCAGGTAGTTTTTTTTCTAATAAGTTCCTAAGATCCAGTCTGAGCCAGTCTAGAGGAAAGTATTTTGGATCATACACAAATATACATATTCACCTTGATTTTATTCAGTACACAAGAACTTTTTCTTGTAACTTCTAGAGAAATGTATTTGAGAAACCTCCACTCTAACTTAGCAAAGTCTCAACTAAATTGCAGAAAGCAAGAAAAGAATGGTAACTTAATTGTCAGAGCACTTCACAAAATCCCTGGGAACATTTCTAGTTGATTATCAAGAGGTGATGGAGAAAACCCTCTCACGCGTGACCTTTTCTAATTTCTGGAACCCATTATGGTAATGGGCAATAGTTATCTAAAAGATTAAATGAGCCTACTTACTGGACGTTGCTTCTCTTCTTAAAATCAGATGGATGCGTATCTGTCATACCTATATTATATGTGGCTCCGAATCAGGTAGTTTTTTTTCTAATAAGTTCCTAAGATCCAGTCTGAGCCAGTCTAGAAGAAAGTATTCTAGAAACGAAGTGGCTGCTTTCATTGAGAGCAGACTAAACCAGATTTTGCCAAGCAAAAATGGAAAGTGAGGCTTTGATGAACTTGTCTGAGTGTGGAAAGCTACCTGTGGCAAAACAGAGTCATTTGGGTGGTAGAACCCTCAGGGGTCTGGGCAGACGGAAAGTCCCGTCCCTGGTCATGCTACTTGGGGCTATTATAAATACCGCATCGGCATGTTGCATTCTGGCAATGGCAGATTTCTAATTGGAGTGTTTGAGGAGCTGTTCTTGCCCCCCTTTATCTTTGGTTAATCGCTCTCCTGTATTGGATTCCTAGAGGTCTTTCTCCTGCTTTGGGCTTCAGAGTCTGTGCATGCAGCCACGTGCGCTGGGCTCATTTTTTACCTCTTGGTCTTTGCAGACATCTCTGTGAGCCTTCTGGCTCGCACACTTTGTGAAGCCGCAGGAGGAGGCCGAATGACCCGGCCTGCCCTGATGGGCTGAACCAAGCTATTTCAAATGTGATTCCACTGCAGGGGGACAGGAAGAAAGCAGTTGTGAATGGAGGCGGCGATTGCCCTTCTCCTGAAAAATCCAAGACCCGTCAAATTCTGAAGTCTTTCCTGTGGGCTGAGGTCAATGTTATGTTTTAGCTGCGGCTTCCTGCTTGTCTGCTTGAAGTGCTGCAGATTCTGGGAGATAATGAGGGTTGTGGGCTGATTTTATGGTTTCCAGGCTCTCTGGATTTGTTTTGACAGGAAAAGGCATCTTTTTGCTGAAATTTAGTAAATCATTCTGAGGGGTTAAGTAAAAGCCCAGAAAAGAAGATCAGAAAAATATATGGCAAGTCCACAGTAGAATTAAGGGTATTTTTTAAAAATATTAAAAAATAAGGCATTATTGCTTACATATCTATATACAGTCGTACTTTGGTACTCGGCTGCTTTGAAACTCATCAAATTTGATACACAATGCATTTTGATGCAAAAATTTTGTGCCGGTATTCGTCCTTTGGTACTTAGCGCACAAGCTAGAACTTGTAGGTGTTGGCTGTCTTGTGACTCACTATATTATTTCTTATGGGAAAAAATTGTTTGGTACTCATCACAACTCCAGGAACCAATTAGCGATGAGTATCGAGTTACCTCTCTATATATAAATATACATGTATGTACATACGTACAATATTAAGTGGAGAGTAATGTCTTTCAGGCTTAGTACAACACTTAATACTAGTTGAGTACTACTAGTACTTAGTACTAGTCAAATACTACTTGATAGGTAACTCTGCCAGGATCCAAATAAGAACAAAACCCAGGAGAGAACGAAGATTTAATTTGTTCCACTTGCTGCTCATTGGCAGCTGAAAGAAGGTGCTGATCACTGCCGGTCCTGCTCACAAATCTTTCAAGCTGACAGGAAGCAATTTTGGCTTTTTTCTGGTCTACCAAGCTGGGAGACTTGCGGACTGATCTTTTGGAAGTGAGCAGCAGCCATTTTTGGCAAACTGCGCTGGACATTTCCTGAGAGAATTCCTGAGTGATTATTCTTTGAGGGGAATCTTTTGGGGCTTCTTGTCCCAGCAGCCTTTCAAACGCTGCTCCATGAGGGCATCCGTCTGGTTCTCTTTAAAAATATTAAAAATAACCGAACTCTTAGAGATTTCAGAGGGTTGAGAGGAAAGTCTGGGACTAGAAATAATTCATTATGCTAAATCTTGAAATTCTTACGGAAGCAAGAGAAATATGAAAGTATTTGGAAGGAAGTGAATTGTAGAACAAAACTGTTAAAAGTACTGTAGTGCTTAAAGTTATTAAAAATAATACTTTGCACTTAATACTGTTCCCTAGAGCTTTTATCTCCAAGATTAGTGGGTCATGAGAGGAGCTAGCAAATGCCCTGATCTGTAGATCACCTCAGGTTTACACGCACACACACACACACACACACAAACACACAAACACACATAGACACACTTTGCTACTGCTGCTGCTACTTGAGTTTGCAATTCAATGTCTTGGAAGCCTCTTGGAGTCAGCCAAACTGCCCAGCACCCTAAGCTGTTGAATCTTTTAGCCGATCATTCCTTTTAGCAGGAAATTTAGACGTTCAGTATAGGCAGGGTTGGGACTCAAATATGACTGCTGAAAAGTGAAGCACTGATTTTCTGGTCTGGTGCAACACAAACTGTCTGGTCAACACAGAGGACCGAGCCTGCTCAGCAGAGTTTCAGTTGGCAGAGAATAAAAGAAAGGGATGAAGAAGAAGCGGGAGAACACCGGGTGCCTTGCTTGAACCCTAAGCAAGCGAAGGACCTTTTAGGGCCCAAAACTAGGCAGGCTGCTATGAGGTCACCTCCGACTTGGGTTGTGGACATTTAGGCCAAGTGAGCTTGGGTGACACGACAGCCAGTGCCTGCAAGGTTTCTTACAGCGCTTTGTGATTTGGCAGTTTTTGTCTTGTGACCGTTGATAGATTGAGAGCCACAACATTGAGTGTACTTTCTACTTTGCAGTATGATGCTGTTCCTATCCAGTCCAGTGTGGCTTTATGTTCCTGTTCATCTCCATCAATGGTGAGGAACCAGGTGGATTCCAGCCTTCAACCTGTTGCTGCTGCCTGTGGCAGCAGACAGGAATTGAATATGGAGAGCACCTTGCAACAACCTCCACAGCCTCGAAAGAAACGCCCAGAGGACTTTAAGTTTGGGAAGATTCTTGGGGAAGGATCTTTTTCCACAGTGAGTATCTGTGGCAGCTGCTTGTGTTTGTACCCGGAATGCTAATGCAGAGTCATTGACTTTTATCTGCAGGAGACCAGATCAGGTGTGCTGCAGTCGCTGCTTTTCTCCTGGCCTTTGCTCTTGGTGACAGGTCTGCCTAGGCCATTGAATGCCTGATCTTCAGAACGTGTCCCTTAGACAGACTTTGCTTTTCTCCCTTGCTTCCCATTCCTATTTTTCCTCCCCAAAGTGTTGCATTTTCTTCAGATGCCTGATTTCTATGGATCCCTATAAGATTTTGGATCTTGTCTGCTCTGCGCATGCAAAACACTCTGAGAAACACCTTGTAAATAAGACCTGCTGAACAGTCTGGGTAGGACTCACAATGGAGAGCAACTGGCTGAATTAACCTGATATTTTTCTATCCTCATTTTGTAAGCATGGTGTGTTAGATTTGCACTCCTGGTGCCCTCTAGATACTAAACCTTGCCAAGCAAACTTCAGCAAGGCCTTCGTGTGCTTAACCCCTTTGTCGGCCCTGATTACGACAGCCTCCAGATAAAGAGCACCTGGCTGCATAAGAACGTAGAGAATACTCCAGTTTTGCATCCACGTGCTTGTCACATGCTCCAAATGTAACCAGGTTTCTCTTTCCCTTAAAAACAGGTTGTCCTGGCCAGAGAATTGACTTCCTCCCGAGAATATGCCAGTGAGTATCACTTGCTTCTTTGGTTGTAGTTTGTTCATGACCCTCTAAATCACATCTGATATTGCTACAAGGTGTGACAATTGCAATTGGTCAAAGCAGAGTGTGGGATTCATTGATCGAGGTCCAAATGTCTAGTAACTTGTATGTTGTTTAAAAGTTAAAATTCTAGAGAAGCGTCATATCATCAAAGAGAATAAGGTCCCCTACGTGACCAGGGAGAGAGATGTGATGTCCCGCCTGGATCACCCTTTCTTTGTGAAGCTCTACTTCACATTTCAAGATGAAGAAAAGCTCTGTATCCTTTCCTGTGTTGGAATGGCAGTATTGTGGGCAAAAATGGAAGGATGTCTTTTGCGACGGTGGTTGAAATGAAACTGGAATTCCAACTGTGTGTGCTGAATGCTGAATCTCATGAGCTTCTCGATGGCTTTAAGGCCAGAAGGGGCATCCTAAGATTTCAGAGCCACCTCCAACTGAGTTGCAGAAAACGAAGGGCATCATTTCTGTCATGGGAAATAGTAAAAAACTAAAATATATGCTCCACAGGCAGTTCAACTTATGACCGTGCAACCATGGTTCAAAGTTACAAAAAGCCTTGGAAAGAGTGACTTACACACTGTCAAACCAACTCACTTGGGGGATTGCCATGCAACCGCCAGGCAAACAGCTCATATTTACAACTGGTCACCTGATTGCTATTTGTGACCGTTTTGGCTGATTTCCATAAAAAATGCCTATTGGGGAAGCTGGGTTTGCTTGGTGACCACATGATTTTCTTAATGATTGCATTATTTGCATAACAACCATGTAAAAGTTGTCCTACAATTTGGATCTGACTTGATTTATGACCGCAATGGAAATTCCAGTCCCAATTATGGTCCTAAAACGAGTAGTAGCTCTAATTAATAGCTAGTTTAGTAACCCCCCTCCGCCCTGCCAAGTCCAGGAAAGAGCCTGAAAGACCAGTAAATCTCCTTCCCCTCCACCAGTTGGGCCTCCTTGGCTGTCGTCTTTCCAGTCTCCCGGCTTTCTCTTTAGCACCGTTTCCAATATATGCCTGTGTTGTCTGGATCACCCAGTAGAAATAATTCTTAACTTGCTGTTCAGATTTTGGTCTCAGTTACGCTAAAAATGGAGAGCTTCTAAAGTACATCCGAAAGATTGGTTCGTTTGATGAGACATGTACAAGGTTTTATACTGCTGAAATTGTGGCTGCATTAGAGTACTTGCATGGAAAGGGAATTATCCATAGGTAATGTATTTTGAATGTATGCACCTCCTGATTCATTTAGCTGTCCTTGGTTATCTCTCTATCGTGTGACTGTATAAGCAGAAGGCCTTTGGGAACCATTTTCCCAGCAGCTGCTGGTTGAGACTTTGGACTTTCTCTTCCGGTTCAATGTGACATTTGCCAACAGGAACATCTATGCTTTTGAAGCTGAGTGGGGCAAAAATATTGGAGGTATCTCTGCACTGCCTTTGCTTTTTTGAAGATTGATCTCTTTAACCTTTTCTGCTCGCCTACTACAAAAAAGGAAAGGGTTTGTCTGACTTTTTTTTGTCCCATGCTTAGAGTGCTTGTGTGGCTGCAGTCAGAGTGGTGGTTGCAGGATGCTGGGTTTATCCCTGCACCCTTGGTCCTCTGGGGAGCTCCGTCCTGAGTTACAGAGCTTGATCAGGCATTGCAAATGATAACGGCAAACAAGGATACACAGCTCATTGGCTACATTCACAGTTCAGGTTTTTTGTCTTAACTTCTCCCTCCCTCCCTCCCTCCCTCCCTCCTGCCATCTCCTAATAACTCTTCCCTGCTCCCCAAATTCTCTGATGGATGAGTTGATCTATGAAATAAATGAAACAATAAAAAAAACTGAGGTTAATTCAAATTTCACGTATTTCTGTAAGACACGTGAACTTCATGAAGCTATGATTCAACGCTACTCCTAGATGGATTACTGCAACTTTCTTGACATGGGGCTGCCCTTGAAAACCATCCAGAAATTAGCACTAGCCCTGATGATGCTAGTTTGGGTAATTTAACATCTGCAAGAAAACAACCAAGCTCATAGAGCACCAAGGATCCCCCCCAATCCAGAAATTACAACTGGTCCAGAATGGGGTGGGATGTGCTGTTCTGGGTACTCCACAGATGGCCCTTATTTATTTATTAATTAAAATATTTAATTAATTTGTTTGCCACCCATCTTGCCACAACACTGCTCCACGAACTGCCCTGGTTTCCTTTTTTTTTTTTCTGGGTGCAGCTCAAGGTGCTGGTTGCTTGCAGGGCTGCCTCTCCCTGAGGGACCTGCCTGTCCCATCAGCTCAGGTGCTTCCCGTCACCTGCTGGCCTCTGGTGGGAAGTGGGAAGCATCCCTCCTTCACCTTAATTATTCCTGCCCTACAAAATCCTTCAGAGGAAGAGGAAGGCTTCGAGGAGTTACCCCTTTTCACAAGTCTTGGGTGAGGCTTTCTGTGGATGTTTAAAACATTTGATTTTTTTTCCAGGATTTCTTCTGAGCCTGGAAATAAGTAAAGCTTCTGCTAAATCTAAAGTTCATGATAATTGATAATTATATACAGTCCTTGTCACATGGATAGATTTTCTGCAGGGTGGTCTCTGCCCAGCCTGCTCTTTCAGATTTTATTTATTTAAAACATTTATAGAACTGCCCATCTTTTGGTAACTCTGGGCAGCTCCCAATAAAAGATCTACTAATGGATTGGACTATTGCAATGCACTCTACATGAGGCCACCCTTGAAAAATACCCGGAAGCTTCAGCTTGTGCAGAATGCAGTCATGCAAGCCATACTAGGTGCCCAAAGAAAGGCAGATATAATACCTCTGCTCCATGAACTGCCCTGGGTGCCAATTTGCTTCCGGGTCCCTTCGCCCCATCATATCCACGCTTCCCACTTGTTCAGGCAGGGAAGGCCTGCTACAGACTCCGTCAGTCAAGGAATTTTCCTGTTGGGGTCTAGGTAGAGGGCCTTCTCTGCCGCTGCCCCCGCGTTGTGGAGCATCTTGCCTCCAGAGGTAAGGAAAGCCTTGGCTTTCCGCAAAGGGGTCAAAACTGGGTTGTGTAGTCTTGCGTGGGGGAACATAGAGGCCCACACAACTTTGGGGCTGGCTGGTCCCATGAGAACCTCTCACACACACCTGTACTAAAAACCGCTAACCCCACTTCTTGGAATTCTTCACCTTCCGAATGTCAAGGTTCCAGCTGATGATCCCAATGAAGTAAGCAGACCTGAGAGATTCTGATCTCTAATGCACTAAAGAATAGAAAACCAGCTCTGGCAAATTGGCGCCAGAAAGATAATTAAAAGAGTGAAACCTTCCCTCCCCTCTCTGACATTTCAGATTGTCCAATTATTGTTCAGGCAGTTGTTATCCGAAGAAAGTCTCTGCTGGCCATAACATCTCTCCTGCGACCTTGCTTCCCATGTGGAGAGAAACCAGCTGTGCATTCTGTACGATCCCCTTCCCCCCATGTAACTGTTGGCAAGCTAGAAGCAGCATGGCTGTCCTAGCACAAGCAATGTTCGTAGCTTGGCACCGAAATTTTTATAATGTTGTTTATATAATTTTAAAACTTTTAATTCTAAATTATTCAGATTTTAGTGTTTAATTTTATTGATAATATTGTACACTGCCCAGAGCTCCTCTCCACAGGAGATGGACAGTTAAGAAATATAATTGATTGATAAATACATACATAAATAAATAATGGTGCATCTACCACCATAGTAGTTGAGTCTATCCATCCTTCTTTTTCCTTCTTTTCCTTAACATGAGAGCTTTCTCCAAAGAGCTGGGTCTTCACATAATGTGTCAAAGTAGGATAATGTGAGCATGCCCATTTATCCCTCAAGTGAGAACGCTCTTTTTTATTCAGCCTCTTCAAAATCCAACAAGATACCAACTTTGTAGTATCCCAGAAAAACTATTGCTTGGACAATTCTGATCTTTGAAGATACTGTCATATCCTAGCCCTGAAGATGTTTTCCAATGCTTCCATAGCTTTTTCTAAAGACTCTCCATGTAGGGATTTAATCTGCATTGGACTATCTAAAATATTATTTTGCTAGCATGTCAAATTAAGGCTGGTATACAGTAATTTGCATGTTCTGTCACATCTCCTTTGATACGTAGATTGACCTCTTTCAGTTGGTTTGCTGCTGTGCCTAGTTAGAACCTTTACCAATTCTTCTGTTGCTCACCCTATTTCTGTAGATATTCCACCAATTTCTATACTCTTCCAATTTGGTAATGAGTAGCATGCCACTCTTACTTCATCTTTTAATTAAGGTTCTTGTAAGTAAGGAATAATAATAGTAGTAGCAGTAGTAGTAGCAGCAGCAGCAGCAGCAGTAGCAGCAGCTGGGAAATCAGATAATAACAAGACCTGGCAATGGCTAAGAGCAGGAAAATTGAAGAAAGAGACCAAGGGACTAATTCTGGCTGCACAAGACCAAGCCTTAAGGACAAATGCATATAAAGTCAAAATTGAGAAGCAACAGACAGTAAGTGCCGCCTATGCAAAGAAGCTGAAGGAACAGTGGACCACCTGATAAGCTGCTGCAAGAAGATCGCACAGACTGACTACAAGCAGCGGCATGACAAAGTAGCAACAATGGTGCATTGGACGATCTGCAAGAAATATCATTTGCCTGTAAGCAAGAACTGGTGGGATCATAAAATAGAGAAAGTCATAGAAAATGATAAAATTAAACTGCTCTGGGACTTCAGAATTCAAACAGACAAATACCTGCAACATAACACCCTGGACTTAACAATTGTCGATAAGAAAGATAAAAAAATCTGGATAGTGGACGTGGCAGTGCCTGGAGACAGCAGAATAGACGAGAAAGAACTGGAGAAGATAACAAAATACAAAGACCTACAAATAGAAATAGAAAGACTGTGGCAAAAGCAAGCAGGGGTAGTACCAATAGTAATAGGCGCCTTGGGTGCAATCCCAAAACAACTGGAGCACCACTTGAACACCATTGGCATTGACAAATTCGCCATTAGTCAATTGCAAAAGGCGGCCTTACTAGGAACCGCTTCCATCCTGCGACGATATCTGTAATACCATGAAACATCCACATCTGCCTATCCCAGGTCCTTGGTAAGGACTTGATAGGTAGACAAAATACCAAATCCAGTCTGAACATCTGGCTGACTGTGCGATGATCCATAATAATAAGAATAATAATTTGGATTTGGAAAATGTGCTGTACTATCCATGCAACAAGAAAAAATGGCAAAAATAGAAGGAATAGAACTGGGAAATGGAAGTATCGTGAGAGCACTAGCAAAGGATGACAGATACAAATACCTAGGCATATTGGAAGCAGATAACATCTTGAATGGAAAAGTCAAAAAGGCAACGCAAAAGGAATACATCAGGAGAGTCTGCAAAATATTAAAATCAAAGCTGAATGCTGGAAACATAATTAAAGCCATTAATACATGGGCAGTCCCAGTGATAACGCTACCCAGCTGGAATTATCAACTGGACTTTAGCTGAACTGGAAAACCTAGACTGGAAAACGCGTAAACTTTTGAATATGCACCACGCTCTACATCCACAAAGTGACATCGACAGGTTGTACCTGCTAAGAAAAATAGGGGGCAGAGGACTATTGCAAGTCCACTAAACTGTAGAAGAAGAAAAACAAAGTTTGAATGACTATGTGAATCAAAGTACAGAAAAACTGCTGCAGGCTGTGAAAACAGAGCACTATAAAAATAACAGAAACAAAGGCAGAATATAAGGAAAAACGGCTGGATGACAGATTAAATAGATAGAAAACCAAAGCTCTACATGGACAGCATTTGAAAAACATTGAAGGAAAATATGATAACAACTTGACATGGGCATGACTTAAGATGGGAACCATCAAGAAAGAAACGGAAGGCTTAATACTGGCTGCTCAAGAACAAGCACTACAAACTAATGCCATGAAAGCGAAGATACAAAAATCCACTGACAATCCAAATTGCCGACTTTGCAGTGACAAAGTTGAAACTGTTTCACATCTAATCTGTGAGTGTAGCAAAATAGACATGACCAAGGTGCTAAATTAATCCACAGGGCATTGTGTAAAAAATACGACTTGCCTGTGTCCGAAAAGTCGTGGGAACATAGGGTGGAAAAAGTTGTCGGAATAGGCTTTTTATGTGTTTGTTTTTTTAATGAAATGCACCATATTTGTATTATTTGTTCATATTTTATTTGAAA